ATACAAATACATTCATTCATTTCATTGCCTTGTAAATATAGTAGCGTTTAATTGATTTTTAAAAGTCTTGAAGGGAATTTCAAATTAAATTTCATTTGAAAAATTCGCATTTCTATATACAAAACTGTCCATTTTATTAATCGTCCAATTTTACACTTTAACATGATATCACAAATAAAAGTGTAACACTCGAGATTATGTTTGTTATTGCCCAGGTGAAACGCGACTGTGTTTCCTGTTGAAAAGCGTCGCATTTCTCCTTAAATGGTGAGGACATGGAACAAAGTATATGTATATGAAAAAAAATCGGTAGTTCTAGATTTTAGAAGTGGAGATGAGGCACTAAAAAATAGAAATCGGTCCTCTTATTTATATAAATGAAATACGTGAAAGTTTCGAAGAAATTAAAAACAGATAACGGTTTGTTTCAGTTTTCAAAAATATAACGCATTATTATTGTTCCATATTGTGCGTCAATAAGTGTGTACGTGCAACGAAGAAATATGTATATGAATATGTATCTGATAACTCGAATTGTTCTGATATAATCTAGCCTTGAGTAGAAATTCTACTGCTTAAATTATTTAAATACTTGTAAAATACTTTTTAGCAATAATATAATACAACTCATAATAGGGCGATACTAAACGTATTTCATTTACTTTGTTGTAATTTATGCGATCACGTGGAGTTCATGCGATCACGTGCAAGTTATGTACGTATAATACAATACATTTCAATATTCATTTTATCTATTTAAAATTTCTGATATTCTATTGTATAAGAACCTGAAATGGAATTATTATACAATTATTTGACTATTACATAGTACGAATATATAGTATAATAGTTCTTAACAAGAGGAGTCTATAGAATATTTCAAATAAATAATATATTTCATTCATGACACACGTGTTCCACTGAAACGCTGTTCTAAAGGATTATTCTTATCACTAATATAATAGTACAATTTATAAATGTTATTTTCGTTCAGTATTTATTATTCTTTTTATATTGTATGCTCCTGGTCTATGTACAAAATCAGGGACGTACACAGTGCTGTCTCATAATTCACATTATATCCTGTCGCCTATGGCACATAAGTCAAACTCGTATTAGACTGTTATTTTTTTAACTTTCAATTCCGATTCCAATCAGATCTCACCTCTTCCTGATTTTCGTCTAACAGTTTCGATTAAGTATTTCAGGCGTTTTAAACAAGGATATTTGAATTTATATTGATTAGATTGTTGGCACGTTTCTCGTTTAGTTTTTCAATTCTTTTTCTAAGGGGAACACAAATGTTGAATAATATAATCTGTGTCGTTCGAAAGCCTTCGAAAGATAGTGGAGAATCAAAGGACTTGTCGAAGTAGCACAAACACGAGTATTATGTTGTATGTGACAGTGTGCAGACTAGTATCCTTCTAAGATAAGGAAATAAGGCTTCTAAAATGCAAGTCTGAACGGTCTCTTTTTTTAAGCGATCTTGATAGCAGCGAGACGTTTCGTTCATAGTCCACAGAGTTCATGGGTCACGAACAGTGATGGGATCTGAAACGGTTCGAATCTCGTTCAAAGCATTTAAGTAGACTGCAGATTTTATGCATTTATAAATAAATCGTTACAGAAATTATAAACTTTGCATTATAAAAACGTGGAGAATTTCACTCATTTTATTGTAAATTTTAAATAAGAAAAGAAATTTGAATGAGAATCTATCAATTGATTGCCATAAATGTTTTACTCCGCAGTCTACGTAGTGTAAGTTTCGATGAGACTCGAAGCTGCTTCTGATCGCCCTGATCATCTTAAGAGTTTTCAGTATTCTAATGTTTCGATTCACACGGCCATCACTATTACAAATAGTCACGAACACAGTTCACTTCCACGTATTCGCGATCATGTCGGCCGCCTTCTCCGCGGTCATCATGATCGCCGCAATGGGGTTACCGTTGGGCACCGTCGGAAACACGGACGCGTCCGCGACTCGGACGTTCGGCACGCCGCGAACTCGGAGCTCCGGGTCCACGACGGCCGACGGATCGTCGATCGCGCCCATCTTGCAGGTACCGGCTTGATGGTTCTCAGGTCCGGTCGATACTCTCACGTAGCATTCCCAGAAAGCGTCACTGCCGAAATGATCAAAATAAACGGTCCATATATATAATTATAATTCGAATTAAAGGTTCGATCAAAAGTGAAAACCTTTTGACCTCGTAGATAAAAAATATCAGATGGTCTCTTACTTTGCACAAAGAGGAGGAACTACGGGGTTCAATCGAAGGTCCCACTTCTTCATAGTCTCCGTCTTGGTGAGGTCGATAGATTTTTGAATACCCTCGATCAACACTTTCAAGTCTTTCGTATTAGTAAAGTAATTCGGATAAAGTAACGGCGGTGCCAAGGGATCGCCAGAGCGGAGTTTCATGTATCCTCGACTGGCGACGGTGACCGTCGTAGGCCTGATTACGATCGCTCTCCTGTCGGGACAGAGGTCGAGTGCGCCGGTCAGGCACTCGAAGTCCAGTCCAGTTTTCGGGCAGTTGGGCGAGAAACCGTCGAAGAACATTTGTATATCGGGTACACCAGTCGGGGCGTAGCTGCTCTCGAGGAACGCGGTCACTTGGGTCAACCCAGTGCTCGCCATGGCACCCGTCCTCGTTTCTAAATACTCGTTCACGCTGTTCATAGTCATCGGCTCGTACGCGGTGTCTTTTATAGTATAGTGAACTCCCACTGACACGTGGTTATGCAGATTCTTGCCCACAGGCAGATCCGTCACGACGTTCATCCCCAATTTACTCAGTTGCTCCTTCGGTCCGATACCGGAGTTCATTAAAATGTGCGGAGAACCTATCGCCCCCGCGGTCAGGATCACTTCCTTATTGGCCTTCACGATCCTTCTGTAACCGTCTTTGTCGACCAGCTCCACGCCGAGCGCCTTCCTCTGCCATTGGTTCATCAGAACTTTGGTCACCTGGGCGTTTATCAAAACTTGCAAATTGTATCTGCCCTTCACGGGCCTCAAGTAGTTCCTCGAGGTCGTCTCGCGTATACCATTCTCGGTCGTCATAGGCGCGACCATGAACCCGGTCTGAGTATACTCTTTCAGTTTCGACGTTCTGTAACCAAGTTCGGACGCGGCTTTTAATACCTCGTCCGCGAACACCGGTCTGTTCTTGTAGTATTGGATTTTCATTGGCCCTGGTACGGGCACGGTTCTCGGTTTATCGGACAGTATGGTCGGGTCCACGGGGTCTTCGGCTCGTTCGAAATAATGCACGATCTCGTCGTATGCCCAACCCGTGGCACCCCCTCGGGCCCAGCTGTTGTACACTTCCGGGTGACCGCGGGCGTACATCATCCCGTGCATCCCGCCTGTACCGGAGACCATCTTACCTCGCGGCCAAGTGCACACTCCGTTTGTCTCTGATAGTAAAAAAATTCTATTAAAAATATGAAGTCTGAAATTCGGTGACGCGCAGATTGTCCTTAACCCTTTGACTACTGTTGGCGCCTATTGGCGTCCGAAACACATTGGCTTTCCGGTACTGTAGGCGCCAATTGGCGTCCGAAACATATTGGCTTCCCGGTACTGTAGGCGCCAATTGGCGTCCAAATCAAATTTCGCTTGTTCCGCCTATTTTAAAATTTTATAATTGGTCTTATGGTAATGTAGAGTAATGTAGAAAGTTATTTAAAAAAAGCTTAAAATTAATGTTCACTTCAAGTAATATTCGTTTAATGTAATAAATTTCAGTATTTTGAATATTTTAATATACTTCCTCAGAAATGCATGTCTAACGAAAAATTTCGCCGTACCCAGTGGACGTCTCGAATGAATTCGTACCGTACCGTACGGCCAGTGCGTGCCAAAGTCTGCCGTAGTCAAGGGGTTAATTAATTTTATTAATCTAGACTGAACTGTCGATCGATCGTTTGTCTTCGAATTGTCATATACCCAGTCCTCCTCATTGGAATAGATAAAAATTCTTGATTAATACCTAAGCACGCAGTCGGGTGAGGTTCCGTAGGCTCCGTTTTGTAGTCCCAGTCTAAGGACGAGTTAATCGTATGGAACGCAAGTCCAGGAACCGCCGTCATCGACGGTTCCTCTGGTCCAGCTTCGATCAGTAAAACCTTCCACCAATAATTGTCGCTGAGCCTCCTGGCGATTATCGGCCCGGCCACGCCGCCGCCGACCACGATAAAGTCAAACCTGCATTTCCAAAATTTATATTAATTACAAATAGCTACTAGAAAAAAAATGCAATTTCATGCTGTAATGCAACTTAGGACTAGGAGAAAAATATGTACACTTGCATAAGCGATATGTATTTATTTTTTTACCATTCGTTGGGCACTTCTTCTGTGCCCAGTCTGTTGCAAGGGTCAGAAATGTCGCATCTGGCGGAAATCAATTTTTCCACCAGATTCATGAACGGCGTCTTCGCGCCGCATTTGGCGTCCATATACGACGTATCCCTGAAGCCGCAGTTGCAACATCCCTCCGATCCGTTATTCGTGTCCAACGGTTTCAGCTGAAACTGATTAACAAACCGTTTCGTCAAATCGCTTTCACCCGCGTACGAATTTACCAGCCGATTTCGTTCTCTTCCGGATAAAAATGCAGAAATTTATAATGAAATCCTTGAACAAGTAAATGCTAGCACGTGCTATGCGTAAATATAAAACGTAAACGCACGTTTCATCGTTTACGTATAATACGTGTCTATTTGAATTGTTTAAAATAAATATCTCATTTGCATAAAAGTCCGCGGTCTAATTATGAATTTTTCAAAGTGATTCATTGTCTCCAGATAAGGTGTGCAAATATGAAATTAAATATACAAATATTATACATTTCTCGCGTCTTATCAGTAAAACTGTGCTTGCATATAGAAAAGTTTTGATAATGGATAAGGTACACACGTAGATATACCGTCGCATTGTTATCGGCTATATTTACCGGCAGTGGGCATCGATGGGCTAGCGCCAGTTGCACCAGCAACGGGAACAAGATATATAATAACATTTTATCCGATTAGAGTCCAGTGTCACCTGCAATCAAAGTTAAGCTGCACTTCAGATAATTTTAGATAAAAGAAAGAAATTGTAATTTAAGTTCTGTTTAAGATATCCATGTCGATGAGATTTATCTTTCGTTTATCTTTGGCTAATTTCGTTATAAAGTTATTTAGAATTTTATANATTATTATTATTATTATTATTATTATTATAAAAGCGCGAAATTCTTTAGGAGTTACGGAAGATAAGTAAGCTAGATAGTTAAATTTCTAGATAAGTTTAACTAATCTCAAGATTCATACCAGGTTTTTTTTTAAATTATCTGATTTATTAAATGAAATCAGAATTTTGGTCTCACTTCGTTGGAGGTCAATTTTCACGCATCGTGTAAAATGCAGTTGTACAGAGTATCCCAGAATGCACGACTTTCCCCTGGGAAAGGGAGATTATATTTGACTTCACTATAAAGCCTTTGTTTTATCGATACTGGAATACTTAATGAGCATCGTCTGAAGTGCATAGAAAATTGTACATAAAATTTCTAAAATTCTGAATCGAAAGTCCCTCTTGCACGTTTCCCCTCCGATCGATATTAACACAGTTGATTGAATAATCTGCTTCGAGGGAATTGCTCGTAAAATATGAAAGTCTGTAACTTCGTAATAAAGTAATTAACAAACCGAGGCGAATGATGATAGTCCGTGGCTAAGTGACTTACAAAGAGGAGCGAATAATAGCTGTGATAAACGATTGTCACGTTCATAGATAAAATCTGATGTACGTAATTATACGTATAGTAATTCAAACATTTAGCATGCAGTTGTTAAACTTAATTGTTGAATATGTTTATGAGCGCCGCGTGGAGAACTTCTAACGATCGATTTTGCAACCACCTGTACAACGGAATGTGTATGAACTAACTTTTAACGCGTGAAAGTCCACACGATCGCGGATTGCTCGAGCACAAATCAAATTATGTATAGTTTCACCCGTGGCTCAAAAACGAAAGCGAATTAGCTATTTAAAACCGTATTCTCTGTGATAAAATCGTATCGCCAGAATTATTAATAGGGATTAAGTCGTCCTATCGATATTGGAACGTCGAATTGCTATTAGAAAATTACGAACGAAACGACGATCCGTGAAAGTGGCAGTTTCGGGACAACCGAGCAGACTAACATTTTCTCCTGACAAATCGGCTAAAGATTAAATTCTGATTTATTCCATTAAATATTATCTCTGAATCTTACATAGGTTTCTGGTATTTCATACTCTTAAGAATAGACGATTAATTAAAATTATTATCACTTTTCAACAAACTGGTAAACTTGCCAAGCTTATCTATATTTATTTGTAATAAAAACTGATATCAGATAATAGTATCATTGATATAGAATTACTTTCATTTATAGCCTATCGTAAGATAATAGTGGGACGTAACGTGAACAGAAATTATCTGATCTAGACAGTAACTTTTTCTGTGCTCCTTGAAATTTTTAATTCTCGCAAGTTCACCGAGTGTATCTAGTTTCCCTTTCACTATCACGTTCGGCCCGCACTCAGTTTTATCTCCGCATGAAACAGACACGATTCATTCTTCTGGTATTAATTCAGTTAAATATTCACACTAATTAAATATTCCCAGATACCATTTTATTAATCAGCTGTACGTAATTAACTAGTTCTTCGTTCACCAATGTATTAACCGAGTTACCTTGGATATGAACGCACGTGCGTGTGCTTCCGCATTTGTTTCTGATTGTCAGATCTGTTCACACGTTGCCACTGACTATCAACTATTCAAGGGAATTATGTTTAGTTCGAAGGAAGATCTTGTCAGAATATATGGAAT